CCACACACGAGTTCTGGTAGCGGGCTTTGCTTTGTGGGGTTAATTCAATGTTTTCTTTCCCCTTTCTAGCCCTGGCATGAATACAGCTTAATAATTCAAATGTTTTTTTTCGTATCATTTCAGAAAAATGAGGACCACTGACTGATGAGGGAATTGCTTTACTGAGATTGATGATTCGCCTCAAGACATCGTCAGGGCTCCAACAGCCTTATCACACAGAAACTCGAGGAACTGGAAGCAGGGAGGAGGACCGACAGATGACCTGCTTGCTGGGCTTCCCATTACCGACTATCAGGTTTGTGTACATGTAGCCTACTTAAACAGAAACAATCAAGAACTAAAATCAAGATGGGCGATCTGGCGCTCTTCTATGTTCGTCCACAAACAACGCGTTCTGGTAGCGGGGCTTTGCTTTGTGGGGTTAATTCAATGTTGTCTTTCCCCTTTCTAGCCCTGGCACGATTACAGCTCAATAAATCAACTGTTTTCTTTCGTGATTTGAATCCTTTCAGAAAAATGAGGACCACTGACTGATGAGAGAATTGCTCTACTGGGATTGATGAGCCTGCCTCAAGACATCGTCATGGGTCCAACAGCCTCATCAAACAGAAATATGAGGAACCGGAAGCAGGGAGGAGGACCGACAGATGAACGGATGACCTGCTTGCTGGGCTTCCCATTCCTGATTATTAGGTTAGTTTACATGTAGGCCTCCTCTTAACAGGAACAATCAAGTCACAGAACTAATTTAAATGGGCGATCTGCCTCTGTTATTATGTTCGTCCACAAACGAGTTCTGGTAGCAGGGCTTTGCTTTGTGGGGTTAATTCAATGTTTTCTTTCCCCTTTCTAGCCCTGGCATGAATACAGCTTAATAATTCCAATGTTTTCTTTCGTATCATTTCAGAAAAATGAGGACCACTGACTGATGAGGGAATTGCTTTACTGAGATTGATGATCCTGCCTCAAGACATCGTCAGGGCTCCAACAGCCTTATCACACAGAAACTCGAGGAACTGGAAGCAGGGAGGAGGACCGACAGATGAACGGATGACCTGCTTGCTGGGCTTCCCATTACCGACTATCAGGTTTGTGTACATGTAGCCTACTTAAACAGAAACAATCAAGAACTAAAATCAAAATGGGCGATCTGGCGCTCTTCTATGTTCGTCCACAAACAACGCGTTCTGGTAGCGGGGCTTTGCTTTGTGGGGTTAATTCAATGTTGTCTTTCCCCTTTCTAGCCCTGGCACGATTACAGCTCAATAAATCAACTGTTTTCTTTCGTGATTTGAATCCTTTCAGAAAAATGAGGACCACTGACTGATGAGAGAATTGCTCTACTGGGATTGATGAGCCTGCCTCAAGACATCGTCATGGCTCCAACAGCCTCATCAAACAGAAATATGAGGAACCGGAAGCAGGGAGGAGGACCGACAGATGAACGGATGACCTGCTTGCTGGGCTTCCCATTCCTGATTATTAGGTTAGTTTACATGTAGGCCTCCTCTTAACAGGAACAATCAAGTCACAGAACTAATTTAAATGGGCGATCTGACTCTGTTATTATGTTCGTCCACAAACGAGTTCTGGTAGCAGGGCTTTGCTTTGTGGGGTTAATTTAATGTTTTCTTTCCCCTTTCTAGCCCTGGCATGAATACAGCTTAATAATTCCAATGTTTTCTTTCGTATCATTTCAGAAAAATGAGGACCACTGACTGATGAGGGAATTGCTTTACTGAGATTGATGATCCTGCCTCAAGACATCGTCAGGGCTCCAACAGCCTTATCACACAGAAACTCGAGGAACTGGAAGCAGGGAGGAGGACCGACAGATGAACGGATGACCTGCCTGCTGGGCTTCCCATTCCTGATTATTAGGTTAGTTTACATGTAGGCCTCCTCTTAACAGGAACAATCAAGTCACAGAACTAATTTAAATGGGCGATCTGACTCTGTTATTATGTTCGTCCACAAACGAGTTCTGGTAGCAGGGCTTTGCTTTGTGGGGTTAATTCAATGTTTTCTTTCCCCTTTCTAGCCCTGGCATGAATACAGCTTAATAATTCAAATGTTTTCTTTCGTATCATTTCAGAAAAATGAGGACCACTGACTGATGAGGGAATTGCTTTACTGAGATTGATGATCCTGCCTCAAGACATCGTCATGGGTCCAACAGCCTTATCACACAGAAACTCGAGGAACTGGAAGCAGGGAGGAGGACCGACAGATGAACGGATGACCTGCTTGCTGGGCTTCCCATTACCGACTATCAGGTTTGTGTACATGTAGCCTACTTAAACAGAAACAATCAAGAACTAAAATCAAAATGGGCGATCTGGCGCTCTTCTATGTTCGTCCACAAACAACGCGTTCTGGTAGCGGGGCTTTGCTTTGTGGGGTTAATTCAATGTTGTCTTTCCCCTTTCTAGCCCTGGCACGATTACAGCTCAATAAATCAACTGTTTTCTTTCGTGATTTGAATCCTTTCAGAAAAATGAGGACCACTGACTGATGAGAGAATTGCTCTACTGGGATTGATGAGCCTGCCTCAAGACATCGTCATGGCTCCAACAGCCTCATCAAACAGAAATATGAGGAACCGGAAGCAGGGAGGAGGACCGACAGATGAACGGATGACCTGCTTGCTGGGCTTCCCATTCCTGATTATTAGGTTAGTTTACATGTAGGCCTCCTCTTAACAGGAACAATCAAGTCACAGAACTAATTTAAATGGGCGATCTGACTCTGTTATTATGTTCGTCCACAAACGAGTTCTGGTAACAGGGCTTTGCTTTGTGGGGTTAATTTAATGTTTTCTTTCCCCTTTCTAGCCCTGGCATGAATACAGCTTAATAATTCCAATGTTTTCTTTCGTATCATTTCAGAAAAATGAGGACCACTGACTGATGAGGGAATTGCTTTACTGAGATTGATGATCCTGCCTCAAGACATCGTCATGGGTCCAACAGCCTTATCACACAGAAACTCGAGGAACTGGAAGCAGGGAGGAGGACCGACAGATGAACGGATGACCTGCCTGCTGGGCTTCCCATTCCTGATTATTAGGTTAGTTTACATGTAGGCCTCCTCTTAACAGAAACAATCAAGTCACAGAACTAATTTAAATGGGCGATCTGACTCTGTTAGTATGTTCGTCCACAAACGAGTTCTGGTAGCAGGGCTTTGCTTTGTGGGGTTAATTTAATGTTTTCTTTCCCCTTTCTAGCCCTGGCATGAATACAGCTTAATAATTCAAATGTTTTCTTTCGTATCATTTCAGAAAAATGAGGACCACTGACTGATGAGGGAATTGCTTTACTGAGATTGATGAGCCTGCCTCAAGACATCGTCAGGGCTCCAACAGCCTTATCACACAGAAACTCGAGGAACTGGAAGCAGGGAGGAGGACCGACAGATGAACGGATGACCTGCTTGCTGGGCTTCCCATTACCGACTATCAGGTTTGCGTACATGTAGCCTACTTAAACAGAAACAATCAAGAACTAAAATCAAAATGGGCGATCTGGCGCTCTTCTATGTTCGTCCACAAACAACGCGTTCTGGTAGCGGGGCTTTGCTTTGTGGGGTTAATTCAATGTTGTCTTTCCCCTTTCTAGCCCTGGCACGATTACAGCTCAATAAATCAACTGTTTTCTTTCGTGATTTGAATCCTTTCAGAAAAATGAGGACCACTGACTGATGAGAGAATTGCTCTACTGGGATTGATGAGCCTGCCTCAAGACATCGTCATGGCTCCAACAGCCTCATCAAACAGAAATATGAGGAACCGGAAGCAGGGAGGAGGACCGACAGATGAACGGATGACCTGCTTGCTGGGCTTCCCATTCCTGATTATTAGGTTAGTTTACATGTAGGCCTCCTCTTAACAGGAACAATCAAGTCACAGAACTAATTTAAATGGGCGATCTGACTCTGTTATTATGTTCGTCCACAAACGAGTTCTGGTAGCAGGGCTTTGCTTTGTGGGGTTAATTTAATGTTTTCTTTCCCCTTTCTAGCCCTGGCATGAATACAGCTTAATAATTCAAATGTTTTCTTTCGTATCATTTCAGAAAAATGAGGACCACTGACTGATGAGGGAATTGCTTTACTGAGATTGATGATCCTGCCTCAAGACATCGTCAGGGCTCCAACAGCCTTATCACACAGAAACTCGAGGAACTGGAAGCAGGGAGGAGGACCGACAGATGAACGGATGACCTGCTTGCTGGGCTTCCCATTACCGACTATCAGGTTTGTGTACATGTAGCCTACTTAAACAGAAACAATCAAGAACTAAAATCAAAATGGGCGATCTGGCGCTCTTCTATGTTCGTCCACAAACAACGAGTTCTGGTAGCGGGGCTTTGCTTTGTGGGGTTAATTCAATGTTGTCTTTCCCCTTTCTAGCCCTGGCACGATTACAGCTCAATAAATCAAATGTTTTCTTTCGCGATTTGAATCCTTTCAGAAAAATGAGGACCACTGACTGATGAGGGAATTGCTCTACTGGGATTGATGAGCCTGCCTCAAGACATCGTCATGGCTCCAACAGCCTCATCAAACAGAAATATGAGGAACCGGAAGCAGGGAGGAGGACCGACAGATGAACGGATGACCTGCTTGCTGGGCTTCCCATTCCTGATTATTAGGTTAGTTTACATGTAGGCCTCCTCTTAACAGGAACAATCAAGTCACAGAACTAATTTAAATGGGCGATCTGACTCTGTTATTATGTTCGTCCACAAACGAGTTCTGGTAGCAGGGCTTTGCTTTGTGGGGTTAATTCAATGTTTTCTTTCCCCTTTCGAGCCCTGGCACGAATACAGCTCAATAATTCAAATGTTTTCTTTCGTGATTTGAATCCTTTCAGAAAAATGAGGACCACTGACTGATGAGGGAATTGCTCTACTGATATGAGGATGAGCCTGCCTCAGGACATCGTCAGGGCTCCGACAGCCTCATCAAACAGAAACCCGAGGAACCGGAAGCAGGGAGGAGGACTGACAGATGAACGGATGACCTGCTTGCTGGGCTTCCCATTACTTATTCTTGAGGTCAGTTTTTAGTGTCATGTACCTAAAGAATGAGCAGAAACAATTAATCAAAATGGGTGATCTGGCGCTCTTCTATGTTCTTCTACAAAATAAAGAGTGCTGGTAGTGGGGCACTGCTTTGTGGGGTTAATTCGAACATTTCTGCCCCCCCCTCTTGCTCTACCTTTTAGATATTTCTTAATAATAATTCGGATATTTTCTTTCGTCATTTGAATCTTTTTACAGACATAAGGACCACTGACTGGTGAGGGAATTGCCCTATGATGGATGAGCCTGCCTCAAGCTGCCATAAGCTGGGAGGACCGACGGTTGACTGACTCTGCCTGCTTGGTTGGCCATCACCGATTCTTGAGGTATGTTTACTTGAAAGGAGACCATGGATATGTAGGCCTACACTTAAATTTGTTATTCCTTTAATACTATGTCACCTCTTACGATGCTTGATTTCCTCTTTAAATATTAATTCTAAATTTTGCTAGTTTACTCTTTTTGTCATGTTTTAGAAGATGAGGACCGCCAAGCTTGGATGAGACTGGAAAATTACGAAGCTGCTCTATCTGGACAAGGGTGCCCTCATCAGACACTTTCCAATTTGCGGAATATTGGATCCAAAATCAGACTGCATATTATTTTGCATTATTATAAAACATAAAAACGACGAAAATACGAATTCTTACGCCAAAGTTACCACTATAATTGGAGGAAATAATAGCTAAAATCACTGTTACTTGTTAACTTTCCTGATATACCTATACCTGAAATATTTGACAACGAATATGACGAAAATTGAAGAAAGAAAATCAAATGTCTGTAAAAACATTGCAGTGAAAATCATATCAAGAACGGATTTTCTTCTCACCCTCACAGAAATGCTTCTCCGCTTCCAACAAGTGGCTGAGAAAATGATGAAATTTACGCCGAAAATAACTGAAATCAGTGTTGTTTTTACCTTTACTGCGACACCTACCAGAAATATTTGACTAAACGCGTGTGACGAGTCATATGCAGTTTCCAAAGCAACCTGTCATTATCAGCGTCGGCACATTATGACAAAGTAATCGTGTCTGTTTTAAAAAGGAAATAATGGAAACATGGGTTGAATCGTTTGGTTTCCATTGGGTCCTACCCATGACCTGGTTATAGGTAGGCTTAGACATAATTATAATTATTGGCTACATTTGCAATGTTTCACTTTAGTAACAAATGGGCTAGGCCCAGTGTTTTCGTAACCCTGTCCACTTAGGAAAGAGTTGCAGCTTTCATCAAAGAAACTGATGATCTAACAGTTGAGACCGACTAGATGAGCTAGGCTGCTTTGTCTGGACGAAAATGAACCCTCCAAGGCTCCAACAGCCTCATCACACGGAAACTCGAGGAACCGGAAGCAGGAAGGAGGACCGACAGATGAACGGATGACCTGCTTGCTGGGCTTCCCATTACTGATTCTCGAAGTTAGTTTACATGTAGGCTTCCTCTTAGTCACAGAACTCAAAATTGGTGATTGGCGCTTTTCTGTGTTCTTCCACAACGAGTGCTGGTATAGCGTTGTGTTGCTTTGTGGGGTAAAAATCGAAGTTTTCTTTCTCCTTGCACATATTTCTTAATAATATTTTAGATAATTTTTTTTCGTCATTTGAATCCTTGTAGAGAAATGAGGACCACTGACTGATGAGGGAATTGTCTTACTGAGATGAGGATGAGCCTGCCTCAAGCCATCGTAAGCTGGGAGGACCGACGATGGACTGACACCGCCTGCTGGCCTGGCCATTATTGATTCTTGAGGATTATAATTTGTTATTCCTCTGATTGTAGTTTGTCCCTCCTACAAAATCCACAGTGCTTGATTTCCTAATATATATATATATATATATATATTTTAAATTTGCTAGCTTATTTTGTCATGTTTAGGACATGAAGACCACCAAGCTTGGACGAGACTGGACAATGACGAAGCTGCTCTACTGGACAAGGATGCCCTCATCGGAAATTTGAGTTAAAAAACTAGCTTGCACAATATGAGATGTTAAATCAGACTGCATAATGCAACGTCATTAATGTTATACACTAAGGCAACAACACTAAAATAAAATGAAATGTAATTTTGATTACATTAAATTATTTATGCCTCTAAAATAATCTGAAAGCGGATACTGCAACGGACAGTTAACAATGGACACAATGGAAACTTGCTGAAAAATTATTGTAAGGGTAATGATTTGTCACTGGCTTTTTAGCAGTGCCATGTTTTGGAGAAGGGATGTTCCTTTGATCTGTCCTGGGTCATCCAAAATTATTGGATCAATAAGTTAATAATCTCATACTCCTTACCTTTAATGCATTCAATTTGATCTTCTCGGTAAATTATAAACGATGTCTCGCCTAAGGCTTTCTATTTGCTTTTTGTTCAGTTGACAATGGAGAATTTTGCTCTATAAATTTTATTTGATATTGAAAGTGCATTTTTAAGAAAACCAATTTAAGTCATAAGAGTTTTGAAAGATTTCAAAAAGGATTAATTTATTGTTTAAAAACTGAAGAAATGTAACAAACTTTATTGAAATTTAACGTCTTTAACAAGACGTCGGTTTAACTAAAACGTGACTTCTTTCCATTGTATATTTATTAGAAAACACAAGAACGTTTAATCTTTAGGAAAATTTAAAGAAACTGTTCAGGTACTTCTATCCATCAAAATGCATTGCAACAGGTATAAGTGACACTCAAATTACATTTGTGTTTGTCCTTTTGTGATTAATTTCATTGCACTTTTTTCACTCGTTTTATTTTTTACTTCGTATGCACAATTGTTTTTCTTGGTGGTTTTGCACGTCTTTTCACTTTCTTATTAATAATTGACAACCTCACAAAAGGATAAACGCAATATATATCGAGTGTTGAACTTGCCTCGCATCAAATATTTTTGTCACATAATAGCTGCATAAGGCAACATTAGACAATTTTTTTTGGAATGGGGGGGGGAGGCATTCCCAAGTTTTATCTTCCCTTTTTAAAATCTTATTCACAAAATGGCGAAATACAAAAACCTGGCTTCACCGTGTACAGTCATGTAGTCGTTGCTTATGTAATAATCATCTATGATATAAAGTGATTATTAATTTCTCAAATTTATTGGCCTTCTGCCCAACTTTTTTCCTCATTTGGAATCTTTTGTATTTGTTTGTATGAATTGGTTTAAATATTTGTATGTCAATAAGACTAAGGAATTAAACAAAATAAATAAAACTTGAAAGATGTGAGACACAGTTTTGATATCCTTGGAAGGTTGTCAGTATTTTAATTATTTATTGGTGATGGGGGGCGGGGTCGCACATAAAGGTACGTCCGGGAATATAAAATAATTAGGTGTTTTTGTAAGGGAAATCTTTACTCTTAAACGGAAATAAAAAAAATCTCCTAGGCTTCTAGGTTCTACCTTTTAAAGGGAATGTACATCATTGGCTTGAGCTGTAATTTTCAGAAATGAACTATTTGAGGGGTTAGTATAATAGATCAAATATTGTTACACTGACATGTTTGAAGTTTTGTGTTCGAAAATGCTGGAAAACCAAGAAAAACAAAAATGTTCAAGTAGTCTGGTTCCTTGACTCCACTAAAGATAAAATGGATCAATGTATAGATGCCGGAAATTGTAAGGTAAGGGAACCAGTCTAGCTGGCCTGCACCCGTTCATGAACATGTAACCAACAGCAAACAAAATTTGGACTGAAAAAGTGTAAAGTTGGAGCAGTAGTTGAAAAATAGTTAGGTTTTTCCAATGGTAGACAGCCGACGTTGGAAATGTATACAAAAATACCATTTTCTTGAAAATGACTTCCACCAGGTGCCATAATTTTACAGGATGCTTTAGACTGTCATTTACCAACATCCTAGTAAGGTATTTCGTAAAAACTTGGTAGTTTTATTTTTCGATGTTTGCAAATGTTGTATATTCCCTTTAAGATTGTCCATAAAAAGACCCGAATTTGCATACGCCGGCCAAATCACAATTTGCATGCCCCCATGGGCTTTTAAAAAGAACTTTTGCAAATGGGAAAGACACTTTGGAAACATCCAATCAGTCTGAATATGCTTCATGAATGTCTGAATAAACGAGCACATTTTTTAACAGTATTTAATTACTATTATTTTTCGATGTGGTGGTGGTGGTGGTGGGGGGGGGGGGGGGGGGTCGCTGGGGGTGGCTGGGGGGGGGGGAGCGCTAGACAGAAGATATATCAGAAGTGGCGCAATATTAAGAACCGACAGCGGGCGCAATAGTTTTGATTAGGGTTTCAAAAGTTTCTACGCGAGTCGTTAATTTGCATAAAAAGTGCCCCCACAATTTTGTGTAAAAAAACGAGACCGTCTAGTTTAAAAATCGGTGGAATCGTGCGAATATAGCCGAGGATCATCTCCCTAGCTTTTGGGCTATTATCTAAGAGCAGGTTTGATAAAATTAGGGTCCACAAATGGGTCCTATTTGCACGAGAAAATGTAGGGATGCCATTGGTAACTTTGGCAGTATGCAGGCTCAGCATTACCGGCAGGCTTCAACCCCATTACGGACACACTCTCGCAAAATGTGGTTCGGCATCTTTCTATACAAAAACCTCGTTTGCTCGGGGTCTTGTGCGTAAACCTTATCAGTCAGCCGATCACGCTAAATTGACTTCGGCCAAACCGCAAGCCCCATCATAAGGAATGAGTTAACCGGACCATTTTTTTTCAAGAGTGTGTCTCTAATGTGTAAGGTGCTTAATTTTCCAGGGGGCGAGTCAGTCAGGGGGCGAGTCGGTCAGGGGGCGAGTCGGCTAGGAGGGGGAGTCGGCGAGGAGGTGAGTCGGTAAGGGGCGAGTCGGCCAGGGGGCGAGTTGACCTGACACCAGATCAACATTTGTCCCACGGCACGGGGCCACGTCACATTGCATGCCACGTGGCCCGGTGACGGGCCGACCAACGCAGCGCATCCAGGCAGGCATGCAGTGGAAAGCCACGGTGCACCGTATGCACGCACACCGTACACACAAACTACGCGCGTACAGGCAATTCTCCAATAGTGTTGTCATTTTCGTTTCCCTTTCCGTAGACTTTCTTCATATCGTAAATCGTTGTCATCTATATCAATATAAAGCTTGAATATCAATGTTTTACACACACCTTGTTCCCTGGTAATTAACATGAATTTTCATCTCGAAAAACGATGCTGAAATTTTCAAAACTTTGTATCTCCACTCTTGGTGAACCGATTCGCCTAGAACACACACCATGTGAAAGCAAAGATCTATTCGGAAATGTTCACGATGAAGCTCTCCAGCCAAACAGAACGCTTCGCATCAGTTCTGATCAAGGTATGTTCCCCCCCCCCCCCCCCCAGCCCCCCCCCCCCCCCCCCCCCCCCCACTGAAAAATTCCTGGCTACGCCACTGTCTGTCAGTGCTAGTAATATAAAAGAAATAGCCCAACAGGCAACAGCATATGATGCTCAGTAGTTTACCAACATCGCCGCCTTTGCATTTGCTGAACAGCGCCCTCTGGGAATGTAGCAAAATGAAATAGTTTCTAGCATGAG